GCGTCTCACTTCTTGACTGCAGCTCGGCCGCAACCGATATCCCCAAGGAATTAGTTCGCGATATTAATTAATAGCGAATTCGCCAGCTTACTCTTTCTCTCTCTCTCTCTTCGCTGCCGTAAATTTGTCGACTTCTCAAAATACCAACACCGACCTGATTCAGAAATACGTCTAATTCTGGATTACCATAACTTTCCTTCGCGAAAGAATCTGTCGAAATTTCACTCGACCTCGAAAGGGTCGAGAAAAACAGCAGATGAATTTTCACAGTTTTTGTTCGTTGTAAAAATATGCCCTTTAAACCGCGTACAATTGGAAAGTACACAGTGGCGTATCGGGCCACGAGGAACAAGCTTCGAACATTCCAACATTCCTTCCATCTTATTTTTTCCCCTCTCCTTTATCCTTTTCAACCCAAGCAAATTCCACCAGGAAACTATTCTCTCCCGCTTCATCTTGGTGAATTTTTCTCCTGACGTGAAAAAAATGCAATTTTCCAAAGAATTCACCGGAAGGCGCCAGTTAGAATCTCCTCTACACAGGTTGTCTCTCGTCTGAGTTACACTTCGAATCACTCGTACGTTACCACCGCGGAGAAATTATTACGTTCAGCTTTTAACCGAATGAAAAATACGAGGAGGAACGTTCGGCTATTGAAAATTATTCAAGGTGTGGAAGTTGAACAGGACAACCAGTGTATATATCTTGCGAGAAATGAAAAACGCCCGGTGGCCGTGGAACAAAGGAAGAAATAACAATTGGAACAATCGGACCGCGGCGGTTATCGATCAGGTAAGTTGTCTTCGTGATAGAATAGCGCGTGTAAACGCGGCTTGTTGATTCGAACAGGCCTTTGTCTTGGACTAGCGCGTTCTGCTGGTTAACGTTAAACAAACACCGTGGAATTCTCGTAGCGATGTCCATTGTCCAACGACATCGACGTCCGGTCGAGCCTCGAAATTACCGCGATAAGTCACCCGGTGAATTTCTTGTTTCGGACAATGATGGATCCGTCCGTCTGAACACCAGCTCGCAGCCTTTTCCATTGGAAAATCCACCGTGGAATGGAAATTGATGACGAGCCTCGTTCCAAGGTTTCGCCCCTTTAACCCTCTTTAAGACTCGAGAAAAATCGCCGAGAGAAAAGAGACTTGCTTTCGTTGTATTTATCTTTCTAATTAGTTCCAATCTCGCGTGATATGTAATCGTTGTTTATTACCGTTCAATTCCGCCCAAGTTTCCACGAGTCTGCAGTTTATCGACGAAATTACATATAATTAATCAACGACCCAACGCAACGAAGCCTCGACGACACAAGAGGAAGGAGAAACTCTGGTCAGCGTGAAATATTGTCGAAATATTGTCGAAATATTGTCGAAATAATGCGCAAAGTACACGCCAAGTGCATGAAAATTTCCCTTCGAAATTTCTTGTTTCATAGTCTCCGCTGGATTCTCCTCTCATTTCTCTCTTTTTCTGTGTTTTCAAGAGAAAGGTTAACGATCCAGCGGGCAGACGACACAAGAGGAAGGAGAAACTCTGGTCAGCGTGAAATATTGTCGAAATATTGTCGAAATAATGCGCAAAGTATACGCCAAGTGCATGAAAATGGCACGATCGTGAGTTCCATTTCTGTGCTTTCAAGAGAAAGGTTAACGATCCAGCGGGCAGCTGGAGCACCGGAGAGATCCGTAAATCTGTTTGCCGTGGAAATCCAAGGAAGAAGAGACGCGGGAGAAGGGTAAATTTGCTGAAACGAAGGAACGTGTGCGCGGTGGTCCGCGGGTTCGTCTCACCGTCTTGGCGACGACGGAGAATTCCCAAGGCGGGGGGAAAAAGGAGCGGCTGATTTATCAGCGCAATCTTCGACGGTCGATATCGCGCGCGAGACCGATCGCGCGAAATTAGCCGAGCCGCTTTACAAATCGTCCACCCTCTGAACGATGGGCCCTCCGCGATTCCTCTCCCACCGTGCCTTGGAGATATCACGGAAGAGCATTGTTCAAGCGTTAACCCTCTATTCGGTGGCGAAAAAAAATGAATAATTTGTGTATCGGACGGAGAAAAGTTCTGGAATAGACGAGGCCTCCCTCTCTCGCGAAATAGTTAGGAAATTTCTCCGAACAACGAGCATTTGTCCGTTGAGTCATCCCCCCAAGCGCGAGTTCGTTTATTTATCGAGGCACGCGAGAGACGACTAATGAGCTATGTAGGAGAAACTTCATCTCGAAATTGCAACGGTAATCCCGTTAAGTGGCCGGGAAATTATTTCGGTGCCGAGGCGAGAAACTTTCCTTCGCTTTTGCACCCCGATATCGCGCAATGGATTAAACACGCCCGCGGAAATATCGGCCCGTAAACATTAATTTATCAACAAGCAAAACCTGGACTTTCTTACTTTCGAACAGCAGAGAAATGGGGGAAATTTCTCGCGTCACCCCGCTATTCCGAATTAATTAGCCAACATCGTCGCGATCGATTTAACCTCGCCAGACGTAATAAAGAATCGTTCTCAATCTCCTTAAGAGTCTCGAATTTCACGCGAACGATCGCTAATGCCAAGATCAATGCTACGACAAGAGAGAGGTCCGTCTCGCCTTCGATTGCCAAAAACCGGACTCTCGAATCGTACTCGTAGCAACGTCGAGAAAATTCGCGTACGTTTTTACCTGTTACGCGCGATAAAATCGAAAATTTCTCAATTCAACCTTATTTTACCCTCCGAGAAATTGAAAGAAACCTTGAATCGACGATACAGTTTTCTCAAGCTTCGATACATTCGTAGATCCTTAAAAATCTCTATGACAGAGATCGTACGTTACGGCAAAGTTACAGTACGATCGAGCCAAAAGTTTGTCGATCTAACAACATACGTATCAGCTTAAACGCGCTCTGTCTAGTAACATGTCTCTTAATTGCGCTAATCTACACGAAGTTTCCGCGCTAAAATTAGAAATAGACTCCCAAGGATTACACGTCGCCGCGTTGGTCTTATTTTTAGGGGAATCGTGGTCGCGCGTTTCCGTGAGTCAGGCGGCCAAAAACGAAACTTTCCGTGCGCGATTGTAAACGTAGGCAGATTTTCCGCACACCGCTCGGGAATAGAGCAATCCATGACCGCGATGCTTGATCGTATTTCGCCGAAAGCCTCCAAGCGAAATCCTAATTCCCCGTCTGGCTGGTTATTTAACCAGCCAGATCTGGTAAAGCGTGCCGTTTCAAACAGAATTTCGCGACAATTCGGACTAATGGCGCATACCACGGGGCACAGTCGATAATAATTCAGCATTTAATTATGATTCCGCCATTTCATCCAGGACCCCGTGAGTGCATACACAATGTAACCGCAAACTATATACGACGATGGAACGTTGTCTCGTGACAGATGAATCGGCCAGCGGCAGCCTTGAAACAAAGTCAAGAGCAGATCGTGGATATTTCATCGTTCATCTCCCTCTCTCTTTTTCTCTCTGAAAATAAAACTCTAGAGCACTTCCCACTGCTACTCTTACACGCGTTACGTCGTCGTTCGGTGAATTATGTAAGTTGTGCAATCGGCTCTGACGAGGGGAACACGATTTAGAAGTGTTTCATTCAGAGGATGATATAAGTAGCTGTTAACGGTTGGAGGAGAAGGAATTTAGAATACCGAGAGATTTTTCGTATCTGGAGGAGAACTTATTTGGTATGCGAATCAGCTGAGAATCAGAATGAGTAAAGATTCTCAAGCTCAATTCAATTTTTTTCAATATTTAAACGTCACAGAGTGAAAGAAAGTACAGGGTGAGTGAAGAGTGAGAAAAGTGATGAAAAAGTGAAAATGTGTAAGAAGTGCGGAACAAGCCTAAACGAGAAGAGTTCGAAATCAAGTGAAACAAGTCGTTGCTGTAAGAAAGCCTGGTCTAGGAACTGCTAATTCGATCGAGGTAGGAAATTAAAGACAGGCAGGAAATTGCGCAAAAAAGGACACCTCGGAGGAAACTCCGTGACACTCTGTCATTTATTACCCGCGGAGTTTTGAAAGGATAGGAAGCTGCGGACGGGGATATAAGGGTCGTTAGTACCACCTATAAGTCGCGAGTACCAAGTACCCACTTTGTCATCTTTAAGCCCTTTCTTCGCTGATGGCAATAGATTACGGACACTTTAACGATTCTATTCTTCCCTCTCTCCTCCACCAACGTTTCCCCCCCTGCGTAGAATGTCTGGATTTAGAAGAAAACCGTGGTACACCGTGTTAGATTAGGACATCGACGCAGAGTAGATACACGTAGGCAGGGAGAAAAAAGAAACCTCGAGACTGATAATACAAAAACTTTTCCCCATTAAAGTGTCCAACGAATCCTGACGCCTGGGAATATTAAAAGACCGAGCCACACCGGCTTATCTCGCCGAAGAGAAATGATAAATCTCTGGAGAACTTTAATCGAGCGAAAGTTAGAGTTGTCCTGATTGCTTCGAGCAGATGTTCGACACAAGGGGGAAGGGAAAAGGGAAAAGGGAACTGTGATTGAAGTAACCAATTCTAATCGAACAACAACCGATGAATGCATATATACATATATTTGTCCCAGCCGAAGAGCAAACAACGTACATACGTTCTAAAAACCGGCGCAAATTCTTGGAAAAGAAAGTCGTCGGGGGAAAAACAAGAGCGAGAAGAGGTCACAGAGTGAAAATACTCTTTCTCCTTCTTCTTCTTTCGATCCATTTTTATACCGACGATAGACCGAGGAGGCGTGCAAATTTCGAAATGCACGCCGAGTTCAAGGACAAGAATGATCCACGGCGAAAAATTTCCTCGACGCGTCGCGGTGGAAGAGGGAGAGGGAGCGGGGGAGGACACAGACGACCGGCGTTTCACAGGGATCCGTGGTGCTTCTGATGGCCCACACGGGCACACACGGGTCGAGGAAAGGAACGGGACCAGGTGACGTGGTGGAGAGTGGGGTGTGTGCAGAAGCTCGGGCAGAAGATCAAGAAAAGACGAGGAAGGAGAGGAAGAGGTGGAGGCGGCGGAGGAGGAGGAGGAGGAGGAAGAAGCAGAGAGCGACGAAGTAGCTTGGCCAGAAATAACTAATAAGACATTCACTCTGAGACGGGCGGCCAGCCGGCCCGGACGAACGCGGTGCGTCTCGTACTCTTCGTAATCCGGCACCTTATCACCCCTTCGTCGTTACGATAAACACCACACACAACGCTCTCTCGTATCCGCGGTTGGGTCCAACACACGGTGACAAAAGCAACGCTGGGTAGATCGGTGAACACGTACATACATACACACGTAGTGCCCGTGGAAATCTAGTCGCGCGTATCATTATCTCATCTCTGGTGTCCTAGTTTCTGCAAAGTGCCTGCTACCGCTCTCTACCACACATCACCACCAGCAGCATCCTATCTCTCTCCTCTACTCTTGGACTACTTTGTTGATTAAACGAAACAAACGTAACCCGGCCAACCGACCGACCGACCGGGGGAAAAAAGAATATCGAGAGAAAGAGAGAAACTGTGTGGAAAAAATAAAAGGGAGAGAACGTGTTTGAGAGAGAGCATCGATCAGTGGGTTTAGTGTTGTATTCGATTGATCGTGTTCAGAGCGACGCGCCTGTGGATCGTGGGGAAAGAGAGAGAGGCGACGAATCGAGGATTGGACGCGCGAGAGAGGATCTCTCTTTTCGCCGTCGCCATCGGCCGTCTAATTTTAAGTGTTAGATAATGCACACCGGTGCGCACCGGTGCGCTCCGTTACTAAAACGGTAGCAGCGCCGGCGGTGCACACGCTCGCCAGCGCGCACGCCCGTTCACGCGCTACCATTGGCGTGGAAACGCGCTGCTTTTTCGATCACGCGCCTCTCTACAGATCTCGCCAAGCCTCTAGAGTCCAGTGAACGAGAACAGGGAGGAAAGCTTTGAGGAATAGAGAAAGTGACACGCGGTTTTAAAGGTGCACCCAGTGCTGGACGCTTCTCCGTCTGTGATATCAACGAAGCCCAGGAATCTCGAGGATTTCGGAACATCTCGAAAATCTCTCTCTGACTCGCCGCCTCTAATTCGCCCGAGGGCTTTTCACAGTCTCTTCCAAGTTTCGACTTTTCAAGCTTGAAACGCCCGTTCCACCGGTGTCTCTCACGCTCCAGGCTCTGTTTACCATTTCAGAGGATCTCCGCGACTGTTTCTAAAGACAACTTATTAACGTTCTCAAATTCCCCATGTGTATTTTCTCTCGTCGGAGATACGATAATCTTCCCGGACGGTTTAGAAACTGTGAAACAACTATTTCTAGATACTAAAGTGATTTTCCAAAGTTTCCAGGTCCTTCAGCTCGGATAATTAGTCCTTACTCTTCCATGGGCAAGCTTGATTCTTCGAGCAAAGTTAACGATATCCAATTAGCCTCGGCTTAATTGCGATTCATCCTCATTCGCAGCCGCTTTTCACACACAATACTCTCTTTCTTTCTTTCTCCGTGGGTTCGAACCTTGGTAACCAGAGGAGCTTCTTTATCATTTTTCCCCCGATGCACCTTTCTTCCTTTCCTTTCCACACTCCTGTCCCACTACCCCTCTTCCCCCGTCTCTTTCTCTTCCCCTATCTGGCCGGTTTCCCTTCTCTGTTGCACCCGGTTCGCGCAGCCTCTACTCCTTCTCCGCGTTTCACGCGGCCCGTCCTTCGATCCCACTATCTCCGTCTGTCTCTTCGTGCTCTAATATGGCCGGCCGGTGTCCAATTACTCGCTTCGTTCTCGCTACAGTTTTTCCACGCTCTCCACGACCGGCGTCGCGTCGAAGAAAAGTTCCTCATCAAGCTTCGCGACACCACCTTTCATTTTCTGCCCTTTTCCATCCGCCACCACGCCAGAGCCTCCTTCCACCTCCTTCATCCCTCCTGCTTCTTTTTCCACCTACTTCCGTCTATTCCCCACTCTACTCCTATGACACCGTTCCTCGTCGTCGTCGTCGTCGTCGCCGCCGCCGTCGTCGTCGTTCAACGTTCGACCGCGTCCAAGATCCTCGAATCGATACGGCGTGCGATTTAATTTGGGAAACCGTGCTGGCGCCCACGACGGTAGAGGTGGTACCGGAGGAAAACCGATTAAAAATATATGCGCCGCGAGAAGGAGAAAAAGGCCACGAGACGTTCCCCACGTGGCGATTCTTCTACCTACCCTCCCTCTCTAGCGAGACGGAAATTGATGATTCCTGGATAATCCTCTGGAAAACTGATTCCCGCGCTGGACACCTTCCGCCGTGTAGTCGAGCAATTTTTTGTTTAATCGGGACACGACTTGCTCGAATCGTGGATCGTTTCATTTTTTTTTCAGCCTTCCTTTTATGGAAGATATTACCGAAAGTAGTTTTCGTTACTCGCAAATCGAAGCTTTTAAACGTTCAACAAATTCTTCCAGAAATTTTTCCGAATAAACTTGGTGAATTGTTAGAAGGATAACTGATATCCTGGCTTGTCACAGTGATTCGTCCATGTAAGCTTAGAAATGATCCATGGTGTCTGACCGAGCGTCAAGTTGGCTCACTTAATCCTCGTCCCACGTCTGACCATATACCGACACAATTCACTTAAGCCACTCTTGCAGAAACGTTCCGCGTTAAATTCGCTCTTTTCTAAAATACCGTTCCGGTTGGAAAGGAGCACACCATAAGCACGGTTTCCCAATTTCGTCGCGTGCCAAGCTCTCGTGGTTACGTGATCGTCGTGGTTCCGCGTGCACGCGACGAGTCGTTTAACGGTGGTGATCTGATTTCCAGCTGTCACAGCGCCGGATATTGGTGAACGAAAAGTGCGACAACTTGGGGCCCCCATAGAGAGGGCCCCCAACCGGAAGAGGCCGCCGTAAGGCGGTCAAGCTCGCTTAGGTAAGTGGAAAAAAGAAAAAAAAGACAAAGAAGCGCTATCGTTCATTTTAACCAAATCTCTAACCCTTCGCGTTGTTTTATAACAAAGCTGCACACGGCCAGCCCAGTTTGCCCGAATGATTGTGAATTAAAAATTCAACGAAAGGGGGATTCCGGGCAGAAAAAACATTTACCCAACTAAAGTGGAATTTTAACGAACCTTTATTAGAGAGTCGAACGATGGAATTTCACTCTCACGATACTGTTTGCTCCGACTGAAATTTTTCAA